AATCTATAGTATTCACATTCCTCTACAAATTATAATGAAATTATTTCAGTGTAATGGCCTCACTGGTTCACTATCAATGAAACCTGAGTACTTTTTCTTGGGACACCCGGTGTATGTGATAGATAATGACCTAGAGTACGCATGCATTTAAAAAAGGTACATTTAGAACTACATTGATTACTTCGAACACACATCCATTTTTCTTGACAATTGAATACTTACATGGATATTCACAATAGCGTCCTTGAAAAACTGGGAAATAAATGTTTCCGGGACATTTACAAGTAGGCGGCCCTGAGCAGGTGTAAACACATTTTTCACCTGGACAAGATGAGTAACACGGAGGTTCATCCTATATGAGCAGAGAGTAAAGATACATTTTTTCACTCTATTGTGATACGCCTAAATTGCCTAAAACAAGGTCTTTAAATCACACAAGGTGTTAATTACAAGGATGGTGCACGAGTTTTTAGAGTCCGGTATTTGGTTGAAGAATAGCCATTCTTTTCCCTAAATCATGCCCTTATATACATAATATAATCATTCTACTGTATTGTATACAACTTTCTCATTTCCTAGGGCCTGGAGCAAACTGCCCCCTTTCTCCCCCCCCCCTCTGGCTTCTCTCAAAGACAAAAGAGGAAAAAAAATATTGCCGAAGAATATGAGTAATATCCGTTTAGGTAAGTGCATATTAAATCAAATTGATGAAGTAAATCATAATTTCTCCTTGCGATTTTTAAACTTGCAAGAGCCCTCTATTTCAATTAAAAAACTAATGCTCTTCCTCAGCGCCAAGCCACCAACTATAATAGTGCATGAAAAACCTTATTATTACACACCAAGTCGGCTTCTTGTTAAAAACAACAAAATATTAGCAGTAAACAATCCTTCTGTAAAGCTAGCCATTAACCTAGGATCTATTATAATTATACGTTTGGCTTTCTGTACATTATTCAAAATATAGTCGCCACAATTACCTGAGCATCGTAATATGAGTACCCTGGTCGAGATATTACGTCTGAACTTGATGAATCCTTAGTAGAAGAACTAAGTTCACATGATTTCAGAGGGTTTTCTGTTTCTTGGAAATTGTATGACTTGCATTGCGCATGATCCAAACAAGCAATTGTACACATTGCCAGGTGATTGACCTCAATAGTTTTAATGACATGGTTTTGCAATGATGAATCTGCAATATCATAGTTTTAAAGATAGAACTGGTATACAACATTTCATCAAAATTGAATACACGTAAAATGGTAATTCAATAGATCTTAGAAGTTTTCAATTTATGTAAAATGACACAGTTTTCTATCTATATGTAAAATGAGGTTAATCTTTCCTACGCGTTTCCCACATTACATTGCAATTTATTGGTTGACAGTCCCTTGACGTAAGCACCTTTATAGTCTATTGCTAATTGATTGGCTCTCTTCTGAAATTATTTATGCTTTTTGTGGAAGTCTTGAAAATTACACATCGAATAGAAATGTCGAACAACACATGCATTACTCAAAAGCAGCAGATCGGGTTTGTCGTCTGTCCAAACAAAATTCGCGATCATTCTTGTTTTTTATTGCTTTGGATTTGGTAGATTTCTGCTTTAAATTTGACATCCCATCTGTGACACGAAGGTGAAACACATAAAAGTGTACTGCGGGGTCAAAAGTAACGTTAGCGTTTTCGCTATAGATATTTTAACGGAGAATAATTTTGCGTTTTCAAATTGGCCTCCGGCATCGTGTAAACAGGGCCTTAAATGCCAGCCATATAATGTTTAGAAATTATTTATGTGGTGAAAAGTAAGTCGAATAGTTGGCTCTTTCCACTGCAATATTTATTTAGAAATCCTATATGATACCTTTACCCACCATTAATGCAACCATGTATGCATGCAGTTATTATTTTGTTGTTCTCTAATTTTGTTGAATTTGCATGCATGTCTTGAATGCTGTTGTGTGGCGATAATATACAGTATAATGGCATTGGAAGTACGATACTTAATAATGTTTGACGTAGTCTGGGGCTTAGATATATGTATACAAAAAAATTGCAAATACCATAATTTTTATGCACGATATCTTGCATTAAAATTTCAATGGCCGTGATGTAACTAATTACGCTTCTCAGTGGGATTTGAAAGTACGTTTCCACGTGAAGTATTTTCAAAACAAGCACACAAAAGTGAATTAAAATTAGTTCGGTTACGAAATGGCTCAGCTAACAACAGCATTTGTAATCATTCAAAGCCATTCTTAATTGAACCATTCGTAATCGAGTTCATAACTTTAATTCACTTTGTGTGCTTCCGTGAAACGTGGAAACGTATTTCCCTATCCCAAAAGCGTAATCAGTTGCACCGGCCATTGAAAAGATCTCATGGATACAAATTATGGTATTTGCAGGGGTTTTTTATACTCCCTGTATATATAACCGAATGAAATTAAAATGGCTCGAAATAAGTTGAATAAAATTGTGAACCCAAATTAAATAGAAATAGAAAGAAGCAAACAGAAGTCATATAAATTTTGGCCATGAAATCAAAGCCTTCACAACCACTAAATAACACAACAACTATATGACTGAATTACTGCGAAAAGAGTTTTCTATCCCTCTTAAAATGAATTAATGAAAAATCAATTAATGAAACTGAAATATTTCAAGAGTTATCATAGTAAAAACATTTCAAGAGCTTCATACTGCTTGGAACCCTTCCAGAGTGTAACCTAATATTAATTGTTTTGAATGAATATAATGTTACTTTTTTATCTGTATGTGTTTAAGATAATAAACTACATAATTTATGTTATAATTAAAATATAATAATACTAAAAAGACTTAACTTATACCTTTCTGTTTTTTCTTGAATATCCCTTTCCTAGCACATTCCTTCCTGAAAGGTTCGGCTCGTGCATTGCTCCATATTTGTGCAATAAAGAAACATGTAATCAAGCAAGCATCAAATCGCAATATTTTGTGCGCCTTCATGTTGTTTACCATGCACTGACTTGTGCTTTGAAAAATATCGTTGTCGAATATGATGCTGTCTTTAGCCTTGGTTCCGTTTGTCTGTTTTGTCCTTAAAATGTGTTGATATATAATTTATATAACGCTTACTTGTGGATAAAACTGACTAAAACTTTTGGGCAATCAATAAATAGCCTTTTGTCTTCAGGGCAATGTAATTCCCTTGCATTTCATTGGTTGATCTCATCGGTTGACTGTCACGTGAGTTAGCCATCCTATTAGTTGATTAGCAACTTGGTTGACCACAGCAGGTGTTTAAACTTTATATGTCACCGTTGCCATGGGATACCAAGGGGTGTTTTATCAAAACTACAATAACAGTCGAAAGTTAAGTGTTATAAATTCTTTGACAGCAAAAATTGGCCACATCGGTTGGTCACTTGACCTGTTGTATATGAAACTCTTTAACTATAAACTTTGCATAGTTAAATCCTTTTAAACTGAAAGAAATACACAATGGCCAATTTTGTCCGTAACTAAAGTTAAAAGTTAACTAGTCTTTTATACAACTGGTACCAGCGCAGCCCAGGTGCAGTTTAAGTGTTATATGTGACCGTTGCCTCGCAAATATAAGCTGACATGTTTTATTAAAACCACAACAGCCGTCCAAAGGTATGTGTTATTCATTAATGTAAACTCTTTAACCGTTGACAGCAAAAATGATATCTTAAGAAAAAATTGGTTCAGATATTTAAGATAAATGCTATCGAGGTACGGCATTTTAACAAGACACGGCCATTTTAGAAAGTGTCACTACTATGCATAATTAATCTTTGTTCACCTGTGACCTGTTCAGACGTTGTATAATAACCGTTGTCATGCAAAATTGCCATGCTATGCAGAAATGCCTGATAATTTTATCGGCGGGCAACTGATTTAAAATTTGCGATATTAATCAATTTGATTTCCCGCGACTTTCGTTCATTCGGGAATGTAACCGTCGCCAGGTTTCCGGAGATTGTCGTAATTAAAACTCGTCGTATTTAAAACTTGTCGCAATAGTTTACTTGGTTTGATGCCAATTTCGACACCCCCCGTGGCATTCGAGTATGTCTTACAGACATATACCTGTTGTGGTAAACGAAGTGGCATCTCTATAATTTATTTAGATGAAATAAAGATATTTTGAAAATATACTCAAGCGTTTCGGAGCACTTCTGTTTCTATTTGGGGAACTATATGTTTAGATATTTTGGTAATTTTCCTAAATTGAATAGAAAAATTGTTTACGAAAAGGATGAAGGTGAAAGGAATGCCACAAATTATAATTATATACCTCATGCACGCATGAAATATAAATATAGAGAAATTTCTCTTTGTCAACAATAATATGCAAATCAGACATTTTTTCTGTTACAATTATTGTGAATGTTTTTCTTCACGTGTTCCGCCCAAATGATGTCACGGGCATTTTCTCAGCCGTGTTACTAATACCAATGTGACCTATTTTTAATTCATTCGGTGTTAATTGTCAGCGAACGCTGATTGAATATTTAGAGCAAAACCTGGCAATATCTCAGATACTGTAGTCTATATGTGGCACTTGTGAGGTCGAAGGTAGCAGTCACTGGACAATAGACAAATATTAAATGAGGTTTAGAATAACGCTGCCATTTCTGGCCCATCTTTGCATCAAAACATTCACAACTTCGAGGGGATGAAAAAATTCTTTATTATAAGCTTTGCACATAACATCATAGCAGGCATCTCGTGGACAAGTTTAACCCAGAAAAAATATATTTGGTTGAATATCCTGAAATGGACAGGGACCTGTTTTTCAAAGCTGGGTTATATCGCTAACCCTGGGTTAAATTGTAATCCACTGTTTTAGTTTATGTGCTTATGCATGATCGTTTCAAAGCTTTGGAAAATATTACTTTTTTGGAATCAAGAAAATAATCACAGAAAAATATTCAACTTTTATGGACAAGCGATGAAAAAAGTGATATAAAAATTTGCGTTAACCCTGGGTTAAGTTAACCGTCTTTTAAACAACTGGCCCCAGAAGTGTTCAGTATTCAGTATATTTACGACGTAATTTACCTCAATATCAAAGTCGACTTGGTTTACTTGCATTTATTTTAATCTTCTTGATATTAGAAAGCTGTTTTACTATTCAATTAATAAATTTTCTTTCCCAAAGATCTACACTTAATGGAAGTGAGCTCTAAGGTAGCGTTCAATAAACAGTTATTGAACTAGTTTAAAAACGTTAAAATATAATCAAAGTCACGCGAGGCTTTTGTTTTTCACCCAAGCTGCTCGAGGGTTTAAATTCTTCTATAGTATAATGCTTTGATTAAGAATATAGCGAATGATCGAAGTTAACGGCAATTCATACTCCTGATTTTTCCAGCTACGCGGTCAGTTGATTAGTTTGTAACCATGCACCTCTAAGATTTTAGCCTTAGCATTCATTCCAATCCAATTCGTTCTATTGCAATTTTAATTGTACTGGAAATTCACGCTTTCGGCTCATCCAATTTTGGTGTAGTAGCGAATTTCGGCTTAAGTACTGACCGAAATGAATGCTGGCGTGTAAAAATTTGAAGCCTTTCACACCACGCCAGCATTCATTTCGGTCAGTACTTAAGGAAATTCGCTATTACGCATGTACTCAATCTCTAAGAAACTTGGAGATTTTCACAGTGTTTACCAGGGTCTTCTCACTTTTTCTCGGCGTGCTACGAAGAAGACCCTGGGGAGTGGGAACGAGGTTGGAATTCGCCATACATGATTACCTATACTAATTGTATAAGTGTATAATTGTATAAATTTACCATTTTTAACTGTACCTTGTGTGCCGTGTGTGGTAACTATAGCTTTAATTTTTTTATTTTAAGTATAATTTGTCTTTTCTATGGGTATAAATAGTACTATAATCATATAAGCATTCGTAACAATTAAGTTAAAAGTGTAATTTACGTCTTGATTAGACATGTTCTACCTATCATAGCTCTATCTATGTAAGAACTCGCCAAAAAACCCATTTGAAAATATTTCAAAATAGTGCGCTTTAGTAGATTAAGTCTTGCCTCTAAGCAATTATATTTACATTTTTGGCAATTAATCTCCCTCCTCTCTTACCAACTTCATAATACACCTTTGTATTCTCGATGATATCCTGAAAACGTCCATTTTGGATATCATTCTGGGTAAACTTCATTCGATCTTGGGATCCTGAGTGGTTATTGCTAACAATATATCCATAACCATCCGACACGCTCTCTACAATTCCTAAACTACCCCACGTTTGCTCTTTATCTGGGGTTGGCCTTCGAGGAGAATTAGCCTATAAAAAATCCACAAGAGCAATGTTTTGAAGTTTAATAATGCATATTATATAGCACCACGTGATTGCGGGTGAAAACCAACTGGCCACATTAACTTAAGATTAATTATAATTATAGGTGGTGAAGGGCTGCAATATGCAGTTTATCACTGCTTATATTGTGCCCTAATTGGAACTCAAGTTGCGTAACGAGGAAGTTGCGTAACGAGGAAGCTGCCTTTAACAGTGCTGTAATATTTTTGGTAATCTATACTGAATAATACAATGATTTTGAAAATTAATGGAAAATTCGCTTCGTGTTTGTGGGCCCCTTCATTCTTCCAAAAATCTTTTTGAGTACGAAATTAGAAAAAATTATTCGAGGAAAACTCTCAAATAGGCGAGAGAAGTAGAAAAAAAACGCGTGCCATTGAATACGCACCGAATGAATTTTTTGCCCTGTATTTTCTTTTTGAGAATTCGACCGGTAACGAATTTCCTGGACAACTGGATCGAAGCTTGAAGTAATGGTTCAGGAATCATATTTACGCTTCAGTATCGACTTAAAAATCCTAGGAAGCCATTTCAAGCAAAATATTTACCTCATTTTCTATCCAAACTTGAGTAGCCTTTAAGCCTCTTTTCGTCCTAATGAACGAGAATTCGACACGCTGCCCAATGTTTGGTAAAGATCCTCCTGCAGCTAATCGCTCACGATGAAAGAATATGTCCTGTGAAAACGATTTTTTATCAGCTTTAATAAAGCCGAAGGTTTTCTCTTTGGAATGTCCAACAACCACTCCCTTCTCCCTGCAGGTATGCGCCTCTGAGCGTGGTTTATTTACTCTGGGCTTTATGTGACGCCGAACGATCGATGGCGAAGAATTTTCCTCACTGAGTCAAAAAACAAAAAGAAAATAGCCACAATATTTTAAGTTGTGTAGTAAGTAATTAGATATAACTATCTATTATATGAACATGCATGAGGGTTATAAAATTATAGAGTTTTACGGCACCGAGTAAAATCGTTTTTAAACGTAAAAACACGATACTTTTATGTGTAAAAATGTTATTTTCACAAGCCAATCGAAAACCACGTAGAATATATGTTCGTGTGTTTTTCGGCGTTTCTATAGGACCCTATCACTTAGAAAACCATTATGATCACGTTAAATCAGATATATATCCTATATCTTCGCACCACTCAAAAATTAATTATACTCACATTTTCGCCCTGCGAAATTTTGCAATTTTTGGATGAACATTTTCTTCCTATAAAAATTGTGAAAATAAAAACATCAGAAAACTAGCAGAAGCTAATCTTCACTCGTATTCCCAAAATTTTAAGAAACCATCCCATTTAATGTAAAGCGAAACAGGCTTGCTTCCCATGCATTATTTTTAATCTCGCTCATTCCCTTCCTCAGTCCCTCGCATAGATAGAGTGCATATAATTATTATTGTGTTAGATGTTCTGAAAATGCCCATCGTGGGTGTGTCACAAACGTGCAAATTTATTCTACCAAACCCTAGATCCGACACTGTGCATGGCTTGATAAAAAAGACACTTTTTGCCTTCCAAGATGAATATGTAAAAATTAGGTGGCCCTTTTAGTTTTCCTTTATGTCGATGGCAATTATAACATACCGCAATGACGTTTATATCACTGGCACGTGTCTTTTCTGCTGATACCTCCTCTACTCTGAATTCTAGAACCATGTGCTTCTCGATGCTTCCTTTTAGGGCAATAACGGGTTGAACAAGTTGCAACGCGTGAAAAAATAGTTTATCGTCGACATCAGGGCGTTCTAGATATCCGAATCCTTTCTCTGAATTAGTGGAGACAACAACCCCTTGCAATCGCTCACCATTACGGCTGTTCCACGTTTTTCCTATTTGCCCGGAATAGGAAGACTTGAATGAATTTGTCCTTGGGATCTCTTCGCTCCCATTTTCTTCTTTATCTGATGAAGATTCATAACCATTGATGTTAGGGAATGTTTTCACTCCCTCCAAAGGTTCACTCCCTCCTTCTTCAAGTCTCACCCACCAGGCACTGAGACCAAGTCTGTCAAATCCCAAACAAAACGAGACTGTGTCTCCTGACTTTGGTAATCCTGTTTGCACACTCTGAGGTATGAAACGCACTTCGAAATGTTTTTTGAAAGTAATTGTACCAATCCACAATTTCTGAACGTCGGTGACGGTACCTTTCCATCTTGTAACTCCTCTTCCTCCCTTTAGGCTTAGATAACCTTCGATCACTTCACGGCGTTGCTGTTTAGTTCTGAGATTCCCATCATTCTCTTTCACGAGGTCATCATGATGTAAAAGGCTATCTATTGAGTTTATGTGATGCCCATCTTTTGGGTCCAACCATTCTTGAGGAATGATCACATTATCTTTCTTATATTTTTTTTCTTGCTGAATTTTCTCCACTTTTTCTCTCTTTTCCCGATCATTGGGATCTTGCAACGCGATCAACATGTTCACCACATAACTAAATATTGTGAGGAGATATATTTATATGCTATTTACCAGCTGTGAGGTCCAGATAGAAAAATATCTTCCCGAGGTGTCAAAAACGACGTTTTTGAGACGGAGGGGGAAATATTTTTCTATACGGAACAACCAAAACGTTAAAATTTTTTTTTACAAAAAGCGGCGTTCGGTCGTATTATCAGGGTTAGGGTTAGGGTTAGGATTGCTGATTTTTAAAAAAATAATTAATAATATTATTGATATCATTCAAATCACATTATCCTTATGCAATTAATGAGTGAAATTTCACGTTGCTACACAAACTATACTATACAATATACTTAAAAAGAAAAATCTTCTTGAAAAATTACGGTTTTTCTAATACTTACTTGTAAAACTCTGCATTAGGAGACGATTTCTTTTTTCTTGAGATATGTAACCAATCCTTTACTTTCTTTTTGACATCTTCCAAGCGAGGGATAATTTTCTTATTACGGGAGTATCTGAGCCAAAACATCATTAACGGTTCAGGGTATTTTAGGCCCTTAGCACACTCTTCGATCTCCTTAATTCTTTCCTCGATCTGGTCTTCAGTTAAGTTTCCGTCGTCAATTTCAAATCCATTATTCAATTTTTGAATATTTAATAAGACTTTATGCAGCCATATAGAGTTTTCGTCACGAAAATCATGAAAAACAGACTTTACTTCTCGGATTTTACCACAAAGTACCCGAAGATTCGACAGTTGTTCACCAATGCACTTACGAAATTGCATTTTCCATTCGTCTTTGTGTTCATAGTCATCGCTAACACTTTCATAAAGAAATGCGTGAGCCTTTGGAATGAGAGATATAAGATATCTCTCCTGTTTCGTAATTATTCTGTCGCCTCTTGATCTTATATCATTCAATCTATCCAGTAAATAGTCAATAAAATTGTTGTCTCTTTTACTGTTATCTTGTAAGCACGCTTTGTGCTTTGTCGCAGCTTGCATGACGGTAATTCGTACCATAGCATCGGACATGTACCCGTGGCTATCGTTTGGCCGTTTTCGTCGAACAAATTTAAAGCTCTCACTACTTTCTTCGGCAAATGAAACGATGCTATCCATATCAACTTTACTCGTTTTCTTGAGAGCCTTAACGTGGCGTAAAATAATGTCGCCGTGGATGTGTCGCAAAAGAGGATCATCTGGTTGGTCCTTTATTGCCTCTTCAATTCTAGGTTTTGCTTCTTCAAAGTCTTTCGCAACGATCATGTAATATTTTGCTAAATGTGCAAGAATGTGCGCACGAAAAGATGATGGCTTTTGAAAAATATCTTTGAGTTCAGTCAAAGTGTCACGAGCAATATCACGATCACCATCTTTCATTGCACGTATCAACGAAGAGAATTTTTCACTCTCGTACTCGCTGGTAACAAAAAGGCGTCTTGTGAGACGATCGATAGCTTTAGTTGCAATATTAACACTTAACACCTGTTTCGCTAAATCAACGGCAACATCCTTAATGAACTGCCAATATGTTTGCTTGTTAGCTGACCCAAAAGATTTTGCTGAAGCTAGCTGAGCGAGAATTTCCTCGGCAACTTCATGAAATGATATTCGACGTGAGTCTGTGTTGTCTACAGGTGGACTTAGGAGTTCACGGACATAATCATCTTGAAATTCATCTTCCAAATTGACGGTTTTCTTTTCTTCAAGAAATGCAGATAGAGCACTTGCAGGAAGAGTGGATTCCGTGTAAATATGAATAAGTGATAAGTATGACAAGACTGCTCTTTGTTTTTCATCGGCAATATTAAGTCTGAATTTAACAAATTGGTTCAGGCCGAAAAAGTCTTTTCCAAAGACCGTTAACCCGAAATGGGCAAACGTCAGTGCTGTCTTTTCACTTTTAGCTTTGTTCTTTAGCTTCTCTATTTTTTCGAAAACATTTTTTTCTTTTCTGATATCCACAAGATGGTTTGTTAAATTAGTCATTTCCCGCTCAGTTAGGTCTCTTCTTAGCTCAATTACTTTCAATGGGCAAGTTCGGAGAGTAGATAAATCTGCAACATTTTTAATTCGAGTATTGTTCGCATATCTTTTAGCTTCAGCTGGTACAATTAACAGGAGGATAACATTAACATTTCGGCATTCGCCTAACTTTCTTGAAAAATCTAAGAAGTCCTGTGGATGGGAAATTTCTTCGTCAACAAATAACAGGAGGGGAAGTTTGGTTGCATTGTTAATTTCTCTAATGTAACTCAATAAGTCCTCGCCAATTTCTAGGAGTTGTGCACACGGATATTCCTTGTGATGTTTAAACAGAAACTGTAAGCACAGAGTACTTGATCCGGCTCCGCGGTCGACTTTAAGACACAAAATAGCAACATGCGACCTCCTGTCATTAAAATCATTGCAGACAAGCTTAAATTCCTTGTCCAATTCTTCCATCTTTTCACGTTCAATCCCAAATTCGTTTTGCAGGCCGAGATCTGTTATTTCCAAACCTGAATAGAATTTCTTTCGCTCTTTATCCAGAATTCGTTTATCAAGCTCCTTTCTCTTTCTAATGTACATCACTTTTAGATAATTGTTATGTCTCAGAGTTTTCGGGAGGATATCTGGCCACGTTTGATACTTTCCTCTCACTTTTTTTCGGTGCGGAACTTGATAATCATCTTCTGGCTGATATGGACTTGGTAGGTTTGCCGAGAGATGCCTTGAAAGAACGTATGGTTGGGCAATGTAAACACGATCAGTTGAAAATATTCGCCAATAACTGTTTTGTAGTGGCTCGACCAAAACTTCGTTGATATCCAATCGCACAGTTTCATTGGAGCATACAAATGTTACAGCTGTACGATAACCAGTGATGCTAATTATATCCTCCAAAATCGTCCGCAGCGAGTCGATAAGCGGCTTGTGTCCATCATCCCACAAAACAATGATGTTGAGATAGTTTGGTCTAACAAAGCGTGCTAGTTCTGGCATCAGCAGTGTCGAAAGTGAGTTTCTGTGAGTAATATTCCAATTTCCGTGACCTATAAATACATTTAAATGGAGGTTAAGTGCTTGAGCAATTTTAAGCAGGGCCTTTTTTAAGGTGTCATTTTGAGAGACAGTGGTACCACTGGGGGGGGGGCAAATACACCCCCTGTTTTCTTTCATACAAAAACAATATTCGCTGGATACAAAGACAATATTGCCTGGATACATGCTTCTATGTTTTAAACAGCAGGGTTGACGACTCTCAATAGGATTCCTCAAAAATGGCCCTGTTTTATAATAGACATTTATTTTAATGACAACATGAAAGAAGACTGCAAATAAGATTTGTGAATGACTAAAGACCGTTTACGCGCGTGGAATAAACACGAAAAATTTTTTACTCTACTTAAATGCTATGTTTTTATGTACTTATTAAACTTATGCATTAAAAAATCCTACTGTTTTGGCGCAATACCACATAAACCGAAAGCGTGTCCCGATGTATCAAAATGAGGAATTATTTTCGACGTAAAAGTTGAAAGTTGTTTGATTTAGCTATACTTCGGTGAAGTTTAAAGGAAAAAAAACTGTCGTAAATAAATAACAAAAACTTAAATCTCGTTTTTACATCTTCAATTTTTCATTGTCTGGATTTCATAGTATCTCTGCACGATCACTATTTTAACAAAACCTTAAATCATGGGCTTACCCTCTTTGGAGAGAGTTTTCTCTACTTCATCATATCCTCTTACAGCGAGCCAGCAAATAGCGTGCTCGGGATTCAAACCAAGTTTGGTGTCTCGAGGAGTTTTAATAAAGCGTTTACGTTGAATTTGAAGGACGTCATAAAGTTCCTTAAATCGCTGATACAAATGACCTTCTTGTTTCAGATGCTGGTCGAAGTCGATAACGAGGGTCCACTGAGGTAAAACCAGGCCATGGAGATCTCGTTCTGTTGTCGGTAAGTTGAATGGAGAAGTGATAAGAATATATGAATTACCCGACTGTTCAAAGTTCTCCACATCATTAAGAAACTTATCTACATCAAACGTGGTTGTAGCATCCTTGCCAAATTTAAATCGATTCATTAGACCTTCTATGCTTAACTCGACCAAGTTATTCTTCGTATCAAAAACATGCGTTTCAACTGTCTTTGTCAAATGGATGGGATACTGGGATGGAAATATTTTCAGTTCAATCATGTAAAGCTGCTTTAAAGATTGTTTCAATTCGTCCTCTGTTATCGAATTCCTGGTAATTTTTGGATTCTGTTTGAGAAATCCATTTAAATTGTCTTCAAATCTCTCCTCAATGTTGTGCCGATTTTCCACCACAATACAAAATCTTTGGTTTTGAGAATTTAGCTCTGGCTTCAAAGGAATAACTCTAGACAGACAATCTCGTAATTTATCTTTCACAAACTTTGGCCATTTGTTGCCAATTTCGCCAGGCGGGCCTTGAAGAAGAAGAAACGAATCGGTGCAATCTTTATTAGGCTGTTCGTTCTTTACAACTGATACCAATTGTTGAGGAACGATAACTTTGTGGAATATTAAACGAAATTGACTTTTGAGAACTGGTGGATAAAATTTACTGAGCGCAGTAACTGCTTTTTGGACCAGTTCTTTCCTTTTTTGAAGAGATATGACTATACCGACAACGTGTCCAAGTTTCAAATTGCCTTCCTGCACCCCAAACAAAATAGTCCCACCAGAAGCGTTAAGAAAACCACATGTGTATTCCGTCAAATACTTATCCACAATCGTTTTAACTGGATCACATCCAAAAATCATCTTAAATTCCCAGTTTTGATTTTCGTACCTGCATGAATGAAAAACATACGTATCAAAAAAATAATAGTCTAAACACACAATCAAATGTGCACACTTAGTAGATTGATTAACACGTGGAAATGAACTTCGGTAAAAACAGTTGTTTTTTGCCTAAACGCAGCGGAGTGAGCATTTTCATCGCGAAATTTCTACATGATTATAAACTTCGTCTTCGTTCTTGTAAAAAAAATTCCGTCACAACGACTAATTTCAAACTGTATTTTCCTTCGGCATTTTCTTAGGAAATTTATTGTAATTTTGTTGCCTTTTGCCTTCTGAAACTGATGCATAATATAAATTAAAAACGTTCAGAGAGATACGACTGTAAAATTATAGTTAAAGGTGACCTAGAACACAATGACATTTTTACACATGTCAACCCTTCTAATATATAATGTCGATGGTACAAGTATTATAGTATAATCCGTGCCCATTTCAAAAGCATCATTACACATTACCTTACACATTTCCATTACATATAGCAATCCAATTTACCTTATTTGTTCTAGAACCTTGTAATTCTTTCTTAAACCGGTTTCCCCTATAGATTCTTTGAACTTTATTTCAATATCCAAATCTTCTTCTGAAATTTCTTTCGGTTTTGGACGGCTGCCAAGTGAATATAATGAACTGAAGAATTCTTTGTAATTCGTTATCCGTTTATTTTGCGCCCCTTTTCGTATATAAGCGTGTACATTCTTTTCTGCCCTGAAATAAAGAGGTTCCGTTTCCCCTTGAGGAACATGAATCCAAACAATATAATGTTGGTCTATCTCACTTTTCCCAGAAGTCGAAAGAGGCAAAACACAAACAAAACACTTCTTTCCATTCACACAATTGCAAGCTTCTTCCAAAGTAAAACAGATATCTGCTCCTTCTTTGGATTCTGGTAGAATACTCGTCATGGCGTTTGACAAATCCTCGCGCCTTTTCGCAATTTCTCCAGCATCCGACTTTATTCCAGTGACCACACCATTTGTGTCGACGCCAACGAGAATGTCACCATCATAACTATTTTTCAATGCAACAACGTAATTCAAAATTTCATCATCGGAAGCTGCAGATTGAAGGAAAATTCTTTGTGCTGTCTTACCAATGCGATCACCTTTTTTCAAATTCAAAAATCGAGAAGAAGAATCACCGTTCTCTGAGATCCACCAAGGTTGTGAAAGTTGTCTAGTGTATTTTGGCCTTATCCTTTCAACGTAAACAAAGCCATGATGCTTGTCTGAATCAACCACAAGTTTAAATCGTATCATTTCACAATGTGGATCTTTTGTGTCATTGCTTTCGCTTTCCAAGCGTTCGACTCGTCCCATCACTGCTACTTGTACTTCTTTACGTACATCTTCCAATAGTTTTTCGATATTGCTTATTTTCAAATTCACACTTTTTTCGTTGCTACAAATAACGATTTTCATTTTATAAGAAATGCTGGAAGCTCCTTGAGGATCGTCTCTTATTATCAGTGTTGCATTATTTCCAAATGATTCCTTTCTTTCACAAATACCTTTCACTGACACGACGCTTCCAAATTCAGGAGTTGGAGATTTGCCATCGTTTGATATATCTTCCAGAATCAGTAGACCTCTAATTGAATCCAGGTTCGGAAGTTTACCAAATGTACCAGAAATATCATTTCTGTTAAATTATATTCAGGAAATGTTAGTTAATATCATAATCGTGTAAACTAACTTTTACCTTACCCAACACCAAATAACGTGCATAAAATAAGCCAAACGCCCCTCACGACAACAGTTAGGCCTACGGGGGAGTAGTAGCATTAGTGATCCCTAAGTCAAGGATCCTCTTTAATTATTGTTGCTTCCAAAGCTGAAATGCTATCGCTCTTCGAGCGTTAAATTTTTAGAACGGGTGAAAAAATTGCAATCCGGACGATAGCGCTATCTAGCCTTCGTACAACTGGCCCCAGATAACTTAGTTCTTTCGAAAAAGGAAACACTCTTCTTGTGAAGAAGCTTCTCATGGCACAAAGGCGAATTCGCTGCACGAAATTTCTATTAAATTACCAAATCCTGGACTCACAAGAAAACAAGCCGAGGTAAATTGAGGAAGATGAACAGCTTTTGGAGAAAGGGATTCTCGAAGGGGCACAGCTGCACAAGAATTGCTTGGCATTAAGGTGCACCTTTTTTGAACTGCGTTTTGAACAGGTAATGAACACAGTTCAGACTTCGAAAACAAAAAAACGCGCTCAGCTTTCCGTGGTCTTAAGTCAGGGACCAAAACCAATTGAGAACAATAGAAAATGAGTATATAAGCGTAGTGTGTTTCTAGTATTAACCTGGAAGCTTGAAGCAATTCATGTTCGGATTCTTTATCGACGTCTTCCTCAATATCTTCAACCTTTATACTCCCCAATGTTAACGAGGAATGTTTGCTTGCAATATCTTCATGGGTTACTACAAAACAAGACAAGACAAGGCTTTTTATTTACCCCATGATGACAAAATTGATAATAAAAAAGTGACAACAGATCAAAAGAAAAGGGTGGAATATTATCATACATTCACCGTTTCATCATAACTTTAAAGGCTTTATATGATTGTTATAAGTATTACGATTTTATTACTCTTTGCATTTCAATAATGATATTATAAATATAAGTTTGAAAAGAGGTGAATTAAAATTTTACATTTTGCTAACCTGCAATATTGTCATGTTTTTTCTTTTGTTGATTCAGCTTCTTCTTCGTTTTCTTTTTTCCTGTTTAAATTAACGTATATTTTTCACATTAGTCCATGGCACAAGCCAAGGTTCGTGATTCGTGACAACTATAGTTGGTTTCCGAATGGTACGTTGTGATGATATGAGCCTATAAAGTTCTTGATTTATAATTCAGCGCGCGCTCTGCATAAATTTAAATGGCCAACCACGTCGAATATTTGCCTAAAATTTTTAGAACTTTAAAAAGCTACGTACATCATTAAATTAAACAATATTGCCCTAGTTAGCTTTTTGATCAAAAGAGGTTGAAAGTACATATGAGTATGCACATACGTCTTTCATAGAGTACAGGGCAGGGTATTGGCGGTCCTTGGGAGTGGTAAGAACACTCTGCAAGGTGAGATGCGTAGGCAGAATTTCTAGCATAAAAGAGCAGCTTTACACATTTTCGAAATTAAAACGGTTAAAATAAACTAGTGATATATGAACGAAAAAAAATTGAGACTTTATTTACCTTTACCTCCATGTAAACGAACATGCAAATCTACAGTAGTCCCATGGTATATCTTTTGTTCGAACAAAGTTTTGTCTTTGTCAAGCTAAGCAATAAAAATCCGCGATGTCAATAAAAAGATTAACTGCTACTGCATAGAAAATACAATGTTCTATTGTATTCTAAAATCAGCCGCTGCCTCTAAAATTTCTCTGTGCTGATCGCGAATTAAAATAAAATCTTAAAATTGTTGAAATGGTATGCATCTTTTATTTGCCTTCTTTATTTTTTCCAGTCTTGTAAAAGACAGAGGGGGAGTTGTACCTCACTATACCCTGCGACTTACTGACGCGTGAGTATTTACGAAAGTTGTGACAACATCACTGAATTCACGCAAAAATCAAGATGATTGTAATACTTTGAGGTTTATGGTTTATTGTTTGTTCACGCTTTTATTACCTCTTTTGATCCAAAAGTAATGTTATAGTCTTCTGCTTTTTCACCAAGTTCTTGTGTTAAAACCCGCTGTAAATTATCGGCACAAGTGAACAGGTCGATATTGATGGTAATCACTTGAAGGTTGTTTATTCTGACAAAAATCTGACTTTTTACACTGGCTCTCCAACTACTTCTAACGAAATAAAGACAATACATCATACATTAAAGGGTGTATTAATTTTGCGGTGTTGGTAATGTTATCGTTTGTTCTATACTTGCCGATTAAAATCGTGACCGATTAAAATCATACGACAAAAATCGCATCGTGGGCTTTAGCTATAATATGCTAAATTTCTGTCTTGGCTGGAAACGTGTAACATCGTCATGAAACGCATCTTGCGACACTTCGCAGACAAACCTTTCAATTTATTAACTTAACTATTTGTTTTGTGCGCCATTTTCACGTTAAGTCAAAACTTTATTCCCAAAATAATGAATAACAATATACCCAATGCCTAATAACTTCCGCCACTAAATCAATATTTCCATTGCGTATAAATATAACGTGTCGCGTACCTGTTGCGAATATCAGGCGCTGATTTGGGAACATCGTTGATATTTGGACCATCTCTGAGAATAGCTGTCTGTAATTTTATGGAGAAAAGTATGACAATTCAATTATTCATCAATAACCAGAATTCGTGACAACACTCATTCACCTATGACGCTACGTAGGCAAGCACGTGGTGACTGGGGGTGCATGTGTGAGGGGATAAGACACTCCGGCCTAATATAGCACCCGCAAGCTCATGGTATGTTCACTCTATCAATCAATCCACAATTTTCACGAGTCGTACGTTTAATACCGAGTTTGGACTAATTTTTTATCACATGCTTTAAAATTTCATAAACACTATTCGAGTGACACTCCATGGAGTACTGGGGTGATCTTGGCAGTTGGCACCAAGCTGACACCAAAAGTCTGGAGACTGCATGAGTTGAGAAGAGAGTAGAGATATCAAATTTAAACTTAACTATTGCTAGGATAAGACAGTACTCGAAAACGTACTTGCGGTTTATAATGAATTAATCGTGTAATAAATCAGTGCAGGTAAATAAAATGTTCGCTAAAAAATTGTGTCTGCAGCCGCCAAAATTTTCTGCTCCGAGCCAGTGGTGTTTATTTGCTATATCATCTCACCTCATGGCTCTTCCCAGTAATATTTATAGGGTTCGGACAGTATTTTTTGTTTGAGGAAGCACATTTTGAAGATTCTTTTCTCATCTGGGGTTTTGAACTGGCACGGTTAAGAATCTTCTTCATAGATCCTAAAGATATTCAATTTGAATTTTGCTATGTATAAAAAATATGAATAAGTGCAAATGAATTAGCCATGTAGTATTGACCTATACTCGGGAAAAAGAGCCGCGGGTAACTGTTCAAGCAACATGAAAACGAGGCTAGAAATTTAAAGGAAAACGAATAGTCTCGTTTTCGAACCAGGATCGTTTTCACTTTTAGGCTTATATATCAACACTCGAGGAAATTGAGAGAATAAACTACTAAACTTTCTACACTACTAAAAACCTAGCAAGGCTAAAAAAATTAATAGTGATGTGTTTAGTTTTTTTTCGCCTCCAAAAATTACAAGCTTTAATCAAGATATATTCTATAGATTTCAAATTCTTACCATCTATCGTTAGGGGTAAAGGTTGATCCACGCTGGATTTCAGATAAATCAGCTTCTCCCGAATTGTCAACTTTTTATTTTCTAGCTCCTTAAAAAAGCTATTTATGATTTATGATGTCTTGAAATACGAAAACCACCACGAAAGCACAATTATTTACTCACTTTTATCAACAAGGAATTACAATTATTTTCATTCGCCTGTTCAAGGCTCAATAAAAGTTCCCGGAGTTCCCAGTATCTCTCAATGAGTCTCGACATTTCACATATCTAAAATGAATAATACATCGTCTTAATGTTTCCTTTACAAAAACTAGAAACAACTGGCAGCCAGGGGCGTAACTAGAACGATAATTGGGGGGGGGGTGAATATTCATATATTCAGTTCTGCCCGACGGATTTCTATTGCAAGCTATTGCAATAACAAAAGAAATCCGTAGGGCAGAACTGATATGAATATTCACCCCCCCCCAAATTATCCTGGCAGCTTATTTTTAGACTATTATTTGTTCATATATAATTATATATACCTTTAAATTTCTTTCGTGTTCTGCGGCTTCAAGAAATTCTCGATACTTTTTGCTCGTTTTAATCGGGTGGAGTCGACCAACCTTGGAAATTTTGCCAGCGTTTCCAACAAGTTGGGGGCATCCATTGTTGCATTTTCCTCGTTGATGTTGTTGTTGCTTTACCATATTCAGTCTGATGATACGTTGTTTATTGTGCGACTAAAATTTCTCATCTACAGGGTGTATCAAAAAAAATGTCCGAAATGTAAAATCTCCGTTTTTCAGGATATTTTGCAGAATTTGGCAAATTTTTGTGTTCCTAGAGATAGTTAAGACTTATCTGGTATACCTAGGCTAAGTTTGGTTTTTCATTAACAAAATTATGTTACTGGGGGGGTGGTTCCTTTCCACTGATATTGAGAGGACTTGCGCGCAAAAATGTAAAGCTGAAATTGAAGAAGTTTTGCTCGCGTATAAAAGAGGCCATATATTCGTCATTAGCTACGTCTAACGTCCGTATTCATCAACAGGCTCACTCACACTCTCTGAGTGTGACATAGACATTTTGTTATTTTTAGTCAATTAATATATGGAAAGCTATAAGAAGAATAAGATCTCCCACTCAATGAGTTTGAGCGTGAGTGAGCTTTTAAAATAGAGGGGTAAGTCGTAGTTCACCACAAGTTGTAGAATATTAATAGCGAAATGATTTAGCTGTCTACTCCAGCAGTATAGTCATACGGGATGCATATCTGAACATGACTCAGGCATGCCATGTCACAAATGTCAAAATGCACTTATGTTTCTTCGTTAGGGCTTTGCTCTGCATGGCTTCTCGCGTGTGTTCACACTTAAAATGTGTTTTTGGTTCTGCACGAATATTAACAATTCTAAAGCACCCGACCAGGTATCAGATATTCCCTTTCCATTGTGTTACAGTGATTGCCATTATACCTGCTTCGAGCCGATTGTTTAAAAGTTCCGTAACTTTCGTAACTTTCGTTGTCTATATCTACTCACAGATCGCCAATTTTCATGATCTTTTTCGCGCTAGCTGTATCCCAAGTATGCATGCAGTAAACTGTTTAAACCCCGGGTCTTAATTGTTTGCTTTAAGCAATATTACATTATCGACATTGCATGTGATCGACTCCATCTTAGTGGTTTTCGACAAGTCATGTTATCAAGTCATTTTTATCGAAGCTATATTAGCTACACTTTGCCTTACGCTTCTGAAGCTTAAGCCTTAGTAGATATTAATAGTTAATATTAGATGTTTTCATATAATCACATTAATAGACCTATAGATGTATCGAATGTGAAGTTGGCCAGACTTCAAACTTAAATTGGCAATTGTTATAAAGTGTGTAATTTACATATTAACGTTGTTGTAAGATCCACAGCTGTTACGATAACAAAACCTTCATATATTGCCCTTATTCTTCTTAGTTTTCAAAGTCACCTACATCTTATCAAACTTGCTTAGAAGCAAACAAACGTATCTATCCAAATACATGCACCAGAACACTGGGATATTGAGGAGAAATTATCCAAGTCAACCGAGACATCGCTACCGAAGGAAGCGACGATTTGTTGCTTGAGTGAGTGCCAATAATTACTTCCTTACCTTAGAACTCCGGATGCAACCAGTAGAGGCGCATACCTTCGAAGTAAATCAATAAAATGTGATGAACAGCTGAATACATTCAAGGAGAAGTGATCTTTGAGCGTCGCTTCAACGATCTAACTTCTTTGACTTGTTTTGCTCTAAATGTCGTCGCTTAGCGTCATGCTGTGATGCAATGTCAACAGTTTCCAAGTACATGAATAACTTTTCCCCGAATTTGAATATTAGCCGGAAATCACTACAGAGTATCGAATTACTCAGAATTATTAGGCGTGCAAGCTGAAAAATTAGCTTAACTACGGCGGGATTCGAGCCCGAAACTTTCCAGGAAGGGTCTAGATGCACTCTGCAATTTCAGCTTTTATTGTGTCTGATTCTGACAGTGAAAGCGAGAACCAACTTCTATCGCGTCCCCGTTCTCCAGTAAGTTTTCAAAACACTGTCTAAGTATATGTTCACCGCCATCTATACTAATACATGCGCGAGCTACAGCCCTTGCAAGCGTGCGGCAGCAAAAACTCGCGAACTGCCGAGATGCAACTAGAGCATGGATAACAAAGACCGTAAGGGATGGCAAAGATCGTAAGGGATGGCAAAGACCCTAACGGAAGGCAAAGACCCTAACAGAAGGCAAAGACCGTAAGGGATGGTAAAGACCGTAAGGGATGGCAAAGACCGTAAGGGATCGCAAAGACCGCAATGGATGGCAAAGACCGTAAGGGATGGCAAAGACCGTAAGGGGGAAAGGATATAACACGAAAACACGCAGTGCCTAGTTTCTTCCAATTAGCATTGGGAGAAATTGAGCAGGGTTTCAATCGTCCAAATAATGATTGATTTCCACTAGCTCATGCGCATTCTTTTTTCAAAAGAAAAAGAAATATAATGAGGTGTTTTAAATCACTAGGCGCATTCATTTTATTTAATATATGGAAAATACAATTAATATAATTTTATCTTATCATCAAGTAAGAAGTATTATTTGATTATATTGAATCAAAAACGGCGTATAACCATGTCAGTCACAACAGAAAAGATATCCCCTATAAACCAGGCTTTGTGTACTACTTCCCCAGGACGGTTTCTGTCCCAGCTGAGAGTGAAGAATGCATGGTTTGTGCGGCGAGTTACCTAGAAAACAGCAGGAGTCTTATGAATGGAATAAACAGCTCGTGGGAATTGTTCGTTTAACAATGTGATCTGGGTGATGCATAGGCTATAGCGCTTGACAAAAGGATAAGGAGAGAAAGGTTTGTTCTTTACGGTAATAATTATATCGATTGTTCACCAGAAAACTAATCGCAAAACGTTCTCAACAACGAGTGTATACCTGCAAGTTTTGCAAAAGAACGCAATTGCAATATTTACCCAATTGTAACCATTCGTTGTAACTATCTTTGACAGGCACCCAATGATCTCCTTGCATAGGTCCACCACTGGGAGTTTTACCATCTTCACATATATCTTGAGAGTTGCAAAGTTGTTTGCCATAGGACGTGCATTTCGAGACTGCTTGCTGATATGAAGTTGTAGGTGGAACATTCTTCATTGAAATCCCTGCATCTAAAATTAAATTATAATTATCAAAGAAATTTTGTATATGCCCGTTAAACGACACATGATGCATGAATGTAACCCGTGTCACATCAGAGACATTAAGATCTCATGAGTTAATAAAGTTTCAGACGCCACATGCTATTTCTTAGATTCATAAATTCTCGCGTTTTATGCGGAAATTGTCAGCATTTCATGATCAAGCCTTGGCAGGTGTAACTTCAAAACGCGATCGGTTAAGGTGGCTCGATACAATTTTTCGACATTTTTGGATGCACATTTTAAACAGGATATTAAGCACCTAAATATTTCACTATAAGGCTAAAAGTTAATATACTTTGCAGGAAACATATCTAGAGCGAAAATATTCTCAGAACTCTTGCCTGGCACCCGTTACCATGGCGACAGAGACGTTTCAAAATGGCCGCCAAACAGGGTTTTATCGTGTTTATATCACAAACGAGTACGGTGACCCCCAATTTTTTTTGCATTAAACGTTTACGCTATAAATGCTTTATCTATAAAAAAGTTTTAAAAAAATTCTAACATGGGGAATTTTTTCTATTTACAAAAACGTTATTTTTGCTTATTAAAAAATTCCCCCATGTTAGAATTTTTTTAAAACTTTTTCACAGATAAATAATCTATAGCGTAAACGTTTAATGCAAAAAAAATTGGGGGTCACCGTACTCGTTTGTGATATAAACACGATAAAACCTTGTTTGGCGGCCATTTTGAAACGTCTCTGTTTCCATGGTAACGGGTGCCCGGCAAAAGTTCTGAGAATATTTACGCTCTATATATGTTTCCTGCGAAGTATATTAACTTTTAGCCTTATTGTGAAATATTTAGGTGCTTAATATTCCTGTTTAAAATAAGCCCAAAAAAAATTCGAGAAACTGTATCGAGCCACCTTAAATGTTAGAAGTCTTCCCATGGGCTAAAACATGTATTTAACGTTTGTTATCGTACTAAACTTATGCATGCACAGGATTGATAATATACGAAAAGTTTTCTTTTCGATCATCAGTTCGAAGGAGTTTGTTTTACGTTCTCCATACATGCTCCAAAATCGTAAGCACTCTTTTATTCGAAAGCGGAAGAGAAAGGTGAACAGTTGAATGATGGAAATTTTGCTATTATTGAGCCTCTAATCAATAATTTCATTCAAAGGCCAATTCTACCTTTGGGTTCTACTCGGCAACAGGGAAGAATTCCGGTAACGCCAGGGGCACCAGTTTTTAATCCCCATGCGGGTTTAACCCCGATTGAGCTGTGAAGTCTGCAAGGAGGATGTGGAGATTTACCTGAAAAAAATTGTAATGCTTAAAAATTGATGCTATAATTTATTATTCGTTTCTACATGCAGGCATATCTGAATATTTTCTTACCAAGTTGAAGCCATTCATTGAAGCTGTCGCTCACAGGCACCCAGTTATCTCCTGCAATTGGTCCGCCATACGGTGTTTTACCATCACTACACAAATCCTTTGAACTGCAGAGATTTTTGCCTTTGTTACGACATTTTGTTTGCGCTTGTTGGTACGAAAGTCTATTTGAGACTTTTCCCAAAAAGATTTTAGGATCTTAAAAAGAGATCATTACATTTAATAGCATGCATATTTGTATTCATTGCAAGAATTCATCATTTTATATACTGCCGAACGATGACGAAACTGACGATCGTCAAATTATCGTTCTATCGAACCCTTCAGCTCAGCCTTCCTAGCAACAAGGTCATCTCCACGTCTCATCTCATGTTGTAAACATTTCTTATATAAAGTCCCACCTTTCACTTTTATTTTGCAGCAGAACAAATTTCCTTTGAAGTTGTTAGCACTATTCCATAATCCCCAAAGAGGTTTTTGACCCAGAGAGCTGTGGAGACTACATGAACGATGACGGTTTCCTAAAAAAATCATTAAAAATAGTAAGAATATTTAATTTCTTTGCGAGTAGACAATTTGATATAATATAGGAAGAAAAGTCTAAATAAATTGTAGGGTAAAAACATTGTGGCATAACGTTCATTGAACTTTTAAGAAGGAGCCAACAAGTATAAAAATTGACAATGTATTTTGGTATCAAGATACCATCTTCAGGTCTAAAAAATAACTAGCGTACAAACGGCAAAACATTTCAACATTTTATAAGGTTGATTACCATGAAAACCTACTAAAATCCTTACGACTAATTGTTCGATGGTCCAAGCTCATACATCCGGCCAACTATTTATAGGTAATATAGGAAGAAACTTGATCATTTTTTCACCGCAAATTGTTGTATTGATGTATATAGCTAATATTATATTATACCTCACATTCAAATTGTCCAACCAAAAAACATTATATATACCATGTGACAAGGAGATTTTTCGCGGTATCGCAACCCAATCCCCTGACACTGATCACACTGTGATATTAGATTTATCTCACGCGACGTCTCGCGAGGACAACACGCACCCACTGAAAATATTTGCGGGAATAGTGTTGCTTGTTTGAAATCAAGAAATTAACGATTCTGACGAGAAAATTAACCATATTCTCCACGAAAGACATACAGAAAACGCAAAAAGTTGACTAATGTTAAAATATACGTTTTACGTCGTTTGCGCCTTCTTTGCGTGATATTTTACCGATTTATAGATTATAGAAATATTAAATTCTTCGCCGAATCTCAGTATTGATGTTTCCCTCGGGCGAAGCCCTCGTAAAATGTCATCACTTCGGGAAATATTTCGCCGAGTCCCCACACTCCAGGTCAATAAATGATAAATATCAAGATCAGGATGTTGTTTTTCGGAGCATGTTTCTCAGTTCTTCATCTAGAAAAGGTTTGATTACTATGGCTCATGCAATGTTAGTGCCAGACGCTCAGAACCAAACATGCAGAGGCTGGTCTGACAGTTCGCCATGCTGTGGTATCAATATATTCAGACTGAAGATTGGTGAAACTGGTCTGAATGCCCTCCTGGTTGTGAGGAACTTCTGTTACTCGAGTCAGAAAGTTAATCCGGCCGGGTTTAGGAGTTAAGACGATCCGGCAGAACCATCTTTAATTAATACCTTAGCTCATCTTGACGGTCTTTGCTCAATTAAAATTATAATTCAAAGCTTTTCCGATAACATATCCTTGTTAAATTGTATGTGAAATTAAATTTTTGATGTCATTTTTTTTAGGTTTTCTTAAAAGTTTGGTCTTTTCTGGCAAAAAAATAAAAAAACAAAATTTTTGTCACTTGAACATTCCATCGGGCGGTCACTGATGCATGCAATGAGACACAGTGCAATCGCTCGAACTATGCTCGAATGAAAACACTATTCATTAATCAATATTATATACTTTAATTTGTCGGGATAGAAGAAGGAATCCGGAACATTCTGACCATTCCACATTCTATAATCATCGCTTCAACGCTTTTTATGCATGAAAAAACTGGATATAAATAAAATATGACGGAAGGAAGCGTACAATTACAATCATCCAAAAATACGTTTATGCATATCTATACATAGCTGTAGACGTAGAATTAAGTGGTAACTTTATTACAATATGCCTACCATGATTAGTGCCGGATATACATGTGACGATTATAGATTTTATAGATATACTTACATTATGCTATAACATATGATCATTCAAAACAAATTTTTAACTGCATGTATATAATTATGTAGACTGCGATATACAAATCCAGTCAACAAGATTTGTGCATTTTGCATGATTTAACTTACCAATCTGCGCCCATTCGTTTGCACTGTCACTCACGGGCACCCAGTGGTCACCAGGAATTACTCCAGTGTAAGGAACTCCATTTTTGCATATTGTTTGAGAATTACAAAGCAGTTTTCCATCCGATTTACAGTTTAAAATTGCCTGCTCATATGAGAGTGTCTTCGGAACTGTCTTTACTGTAATTGCATATTCAGCATCTGAAATTTCACAATTTCGAAAGGTGACACCGAAAATCTTATATATATATATATATATATTATATTATATATATATATATATAATATATATATATATATATATATATATAATATATATATATTAATATATATCATAATTTAAACCGCTTTAAGTTACCAACCTGTACACAACAATGCCGCCGAGAGACTCAAGACGCCAAGCAGAACTACTCCTTGAGTTAAGAGATTGCTCATCATTTCATAAAATTTTCTAAAACAAGGTCATATATATAATTTGTTTTTATTATGCACGGCGTTTCTTACACTTGAGAACATCTCTTAAAGGTAGAATTGCATTGCAAGTTGCAAGAAAAATTACACCGTGAACATGGGTTTAAGCAAAAATTAACCGACTTAAGAGATTGCTTATCATAAAATTTTCCAAATGAGCTTCTTCACTAGACACTGTTCGATCTCTACATACCTGACGTGTCTTCTCCAAGCGTGAGAGTATGGTTACTGGGGACTGGCGTATTTGTAAGATTAGAGGGAATATATATAGCTAGACGTTGTAGCCTTGTATTAAGATTGCGTTGACAGACGTGTGTTCAGTGCGTTCAATCTGTGCTGAGTGAAGCACGCGCATTACTGCGATAAAATATGGCAGCGTCACAGGATGTTTATTCATGTTTGGTCTTAAGGATATAAACCTTAAAACAACAAAGTCATTTCATCTGAAAATAATCACTAGTGGAAAACATCGTTTTTCCTGTGTGCTTGAACGTATTGATATACGCGTGCACACATTAGAAAATGAGACATCTCAACCCGATCAACTATGTTTTAATTAATTTTGCACAAAAAACTTATTTGCTAGAGGGACGTGCTGGGAGGAAATCTTTTTAAGAGGATAAATATTAAAGTACAACATATTGTGAGAATTTATACTTTTAAGTTATGTCAACACGGGGCGAATGAATTTGAGATCGTGCTGGAATTCGCCTGGTTACTTCCCATTTCTGTGCAGTGCGTGTCATCACCTGACGGCACGCACTGCAGAAAAATGGGATACGCAAATGACACGTGCTGGAATTCGCCCGGTTAGGACATTTACTTCCCATTTCTGTGCAGTGCGTGTCATCACCCATATAACGACACGCACTGCACAAAAATGGGATACGCAAAAGACACGCACTGCACAAAAATGGGAAGAAAAATCTATGGATAGGAAATTTAAGTACGAACGTTTTTAGTGACGTTGTATCACGCGGTTTCAGTCGAACTATTATTATTTTCTATTTTGTTAATCGATGCAATACATGATATAAACTTAACTGAATTTGCGTCAGCTTTGAGAATTGTTGAGGACTACACGGTATTTACGGAGGCTAATTCTCGACATACTTTCCCTTTGACGTTTTGATTATCGAAGTAAATCATTTCACCCTTTGACACGATGTTTACGAGCAGTTCAATTTTGAAAAGAAGTAAAACAACTGATCTGGCTTGGCTTTGGCAGTGCCAATTTAGTAGCTATTATTACTTCACTAACAATAATAATCATTTTTTCTAGCTCTCAGAGAATGATTCTGTAAGATACTCCGGGGCTTGCCCGGTTAAAGCTCTGAATGTCATAACTGCTTTCCTCTTTTCTATGTCAGTCTCAATTGGTACCCAATTAAGTTACGTTCCATAATTTGGGTGGAACGAATATCATATATATGTACTTGAAGTTATCACACGTGCGGCTCTCGTTTGTAATTTTGAAAGTTTAGTTATGGTACAAGATCAATCATCCCATATTGTTGAACGATAATTAAAGCGAGGTCAAACAAATGCATTATACATGTTTAGTAATGTATGCCTAGGAACAAAGGAACTATCTTTTTTAACAGGGCAATGTTTTTTGAATTTTTTTTTCATTGGTCATTATTATGTTTATCACACTTTAACTGATTATCTGAAAATGATGCCAAGAGACCTTCCCCTTGTGGCAACACTGGACTGTTGTCAATTGAGGCAAGGTGAGATCTCGGGCCATGGCCAATTAGCATGAACTCGGGTTTCTCATCATTTAAAGTAAGTTTATTGGCTGTTAGCCATCGATGAATATTTTTCCATATTAAGTTTGGTTTCGTTTCGCAAGAATTTTGTCCTTCTCAGGCAAGATTTGTATCGTCTGAAGTTTCGACGTTTTTAAGCTATTTGCAAGGTCATTTGTATGAAACCGAAATGAAATTATGGGAAGATTTGAACCCTGTACGTGGTACTCCACATTTGATATTTTTGCCGACGAATTCATTCACAGTTGACTGAACATATCTGCTTTTTACCATTAAGATAAGACTTAAACCAATCAAGGCTACGTAATACCATCAATGCCGTATTTTTTTCAGTTTACCTAATAAAGTTGCATTGAGATGCAGGAATAAAACTCCAGTAATCAGGGGCCGGTTGTTCGAAAAACGTTTAACTTATAAACCGTGGATAAGCCAAAGTTGAAAAGTACTCACATATACTTGCGAATGACTGATCCTGCATCTTATGCATTTAGTAATAATAATGTACTTCCATTGAAAATTAAACTATTTACTTTGAAATATTCCAGCTCAGTTTTTCAATAAATAGATAATTTTGTTTTCCATTTCGAACAACCACCCCTTGACCTTTAATTATCATGCAAACTTTGATATAGTATATTATTTAAATATTCATTTGTGGAGCTCAGCAAAGTAGTAATTTCCGTAGAGTGTTGGGTACGGAAGACAGATTGTTGTTTCACTAGAATGTTTTTAAATGTCATGAACGATTTTAACTGTTGATACACCAATTTTTCAAAGATTTTGGAGACATCGGAAACTGGAGAAATACGGTCTATATCCTTCACTGCCACTTTAGCTAATTTCGAATTGAAAATGTTAACCAATGACCCTCAGTTGCATGTTTTAACGACATTACACTAATCCCATCTAATCTTCTTTACACATATTTCATTATTTTGCTTTGATAGCACATGACTTATTGGTCTGCTAGATCACGTTTTTTTGGTATACTTTCTTCCTCGTTGGTCTTAATACTCTCTTATCCTCCTGCAAATTTGGGTTTGTCAGGTTATTTCCTGTTATATAGTGTTACGCCAACGCATCGCAAACCTTGTGATTGTAAAGCTAAGAAAACTTGTTTGTGCATACCAATAATTTCAATGTCAATGACAATATTAATGACATTTTTATAAGCTGTATCATTACTATCATATAAAATACATGCTGATTTTAAGCGAACAGCTTGTCTTTTCAAGTAATCTCTATGATAACTTGTTTAATTTCGCTTGTAAGCTAGGGTTTACATTGATTTCCCTTTTTGCACGCCTGTGTTTAATTAACGCGTGTTTATCCGAAATAGTGAGAAATTTTATCCTAAAATACCTCCATAACCCATTATTTAACGCGTTTACATTGCGTTTTTTGTATTCTCTGGTAAACACAACTTCGGGTATCTCTTTAGTCTTGATGCTTTCAGTCGTTTAGTTCCAATTGAGTACACAGAATATACGTGCAATGTCGTTTAGCTTCGATCTAGTATACACAGAATCAGAGGCGTAACTAAACCGATAATTGGGGGGGGGGGATAAATATTCAATTACTAAGTCCAGCCACGCTGATTTCTATTGTAAGCAATATATGTTTTTATTCATTGCACAAAAAAGTACGACGTTTATATAACCCAAATTCCGAATAAACCAGACATCTTGAGAGTCAAAATATGAATAAAGCAAGTCACAGCTAGGTTGAAACTGTAAATTTTCGACTTTAAACTTTCAGGCTGAAGATGACTTTAATTTGAAATAAGGTCGAAAAGTTTCAAACTGCATCTGTCTTGCTCGATTCATATTTTGAATTTCGAGATGTCTTGTTTATTCGGAATTTTGCTTTTACTGCATGTACTTTTTGAAATTGTCGGCTGCTCATGGTTTTTATATAACCCGGTTCTAATAAAAATTATATAAATTATATAGGTGAGCGATCGTCGGCGATGCTAATTGTCGAGAAAATAAGGAGAGTCCTAAAAATCCCAATTTTCACACACAAAGGGTATTTTTACTTATATAATATTATGTTTATCTTTACTGATATTTCACTGCACGTTACCTGTCCTTAGAGACTGGTAGCAGTGACACTATTTTGTTTTGTGAATTGTGGCGTTTAATTGAAGCAATAATATAATTCAAGTGACATTTGGAGCTCGAGCCTACACAAAATAGGTAACTCCATATATCTTATGTATCGCTGCAAGATGTTAATTTGGAGCTAACAAATTTTCCCAAATCCTGGTGTGAAATTTATGAGCTTTTGTTGCGATTATTGGTAAGGGTGTTAAAATTCTGAACTTCATACGTATGTTAAGCCCTGATTCCACGAGCGAAATTTTTAAGCGCAATGCGAAATATTTCTCTTGCTTCTTTTGAATTGTGAGCAATCAAGCGGAAGTAATGTATTCAAGTGGTCACAATTCAAAAGAAACTGGCGAAATATTTCGCATTTCGCCGAGAAAAAGCGCCCGTGGAATCAGGCCCATACGCAAGGCTTTATTGTGTTTAGATATATGCGTGCATATAAAAATAGCTGTAAAAATAGGCATATCAATTGCATGACTGGGATTAATGATTGAGTTTTGCCACAAGACATATAATTTTCGGCCATTCGCAATCATTAATCGCTTTTCCCTTTCATGAATGACATATCGTGGGGTTAAATAAGTAATAAGGTGAAAATACTTATCACCCTCTCAGAACTAATACCTGGATAAACAGTCTTAAGTCGTCATTTATCTTAATTGTCGCATTTTTTTAAAAAATGTGCGTGCTGTAGGCAATGCAAGCTCTTATGTCAATAAATTGTGTTTAATTGAGATGTTGCCCGGTCAAGCATGTAATAGATTACGTCATCAAAAGTTCAATTCGGTAAAATAAGAGTGAAAATAGTTTAAGTTGAAAGATATTGTTTACAGAAGTATTAATATATTTGTAAATTTTACTAGTCGTTGATGATAATTAATGATAGATATAAGTTGTGAACATTTTTAAGTATTGATCGATTGAGCAGAAGACCAATATTAGAAGATTAATATTAGAACTTAGGAACTGTTAAGATCCTACTAAATCGCGTAGAAAATAAAAAAAAGTTTAACACGTAATTCACGGGTATAACGTAATACCCATAGGCTCCTGGGAATATACTCAAACTAAAACCCTGGTAAATAAGTTGAATGACGTATTTGTGCCATTGGACAAATTTTTAACATTTACCTTAAGATCCCTTACCACATTGCCACATTGCAATTATGTTTCATGAAATTTATTACAGATTTCTTCTATAATAAATACAACACCAGACGGATTGCCAAATAAGTCCCCAAAGGCCAAATGAACTTTCAAATGAAAGATTTTGAATTGAACTTACTCCGGTTATAACGTACACTATAAAAAATGGAAGTATTCCAGGTCTCCTCTATAAAGTCGTATTTTTTTATTATATCCGAAGGTTTTTTCATGACAAAAGTTTGCATTGAGAAGGACAGGCCATGTTAACGTTTGGGGACTATGCAGCTTCTATGTATATGTCCCGTCCTATATGAAGAGTTTAACATCCAGTCACACGTCAAGGGCAATATAATAAGTTTGGAGAAAAGACGGACGTGGACACTAGTCAGGTGGACTACGGAATGTATTGAATTGAATATTATTGCGAAGTCGTTCAACTAATCTGAACTCTGAAAAAATTTAGAAGCTTGTCAACATTGTTTTCAATCACTAGCCATAGCATGCCTTAATCAATTTTGGAGTAGAATTGAACCAGCAGTCCTAACAAAACTGGTTCACTCTATGCCAGAAAAAGACAAGCTGTTTTGAAACGTAGAAGAGGCCGGTCACATAAAAATATTATTAGAACAGCGCCAATTTTTGTTAAATCCTATATCGTGACTCGTGATTATATTTGCACATGCAGTGCTTTCGTTCTATCAATACGACATCATATTCACTATACTTAAGACTGTTGATCCCCCACTGTACGTAGGTGCAAAAAAGCAGCCCTTGACCATGCATTTGACCTTACGCACTCATATAGCATGCACTGCACACACATGGGAAGTAAAATTTTGGCTAACTTATAGGGCATCTGCACGAAACTAGTTAGTACAGCTTTAGTGCAGGTACCAAAATTCAAATTGTAATAACATGGTCGCCTCGGTCAATAGTGACGTTATAAATGACGTATTTAACGTCCCTCATCAATATATTTATGAGGGACGTTCACATGCAACTGAACCATAAGTAATAAACATAAACTGAAACAACGAATTCAATTACACACAACTTAATTTCAATCGCTTTATCTTCGTTTGCTGAAACAATTCAATAAACAGAACTCACAAATAAAAAGCTTCATTGAATTCCTTATTCCCTCGCTCATCATCTTATTACAAAATAAAAACATAGCTTTGAACGTCATTAGCGGGTTATAAATATTCTAATCACTGAACCATTTCGATTAGGAGATCTCGCTATACAAAAGCATCTAATCCATTGTTTTTTCCTTCGGGGACCATGTTATTACAAACTAAATTAAACGCATGCATGCTTTCAGGGGTATTAGTGATCAAATGTACACTTAAACCTCGGGAGGTTTGCGGGACATTCAAGTAAGGCCTATTTCAAACGTCGCATTTTGCATGTGTCGAATACAATTGTTTAAATTATCTGCATGCGAGATACCGGCGACGTCCAGCTGAAACAATTGAATTCGCTGTCTTTAATTGCGGTCGACCGTGATGCTAAATTCGATTGTTCCGGTCGCATTATGCGAGCTGGATGCGACGTGGTTTCAGAGGTCGCATTTTGCATGTGTCGAATTCAAGTCGCTTGAAAAAAAGGACAAAGAACGTCATGCATGTTATGATATTGCATGAAAGGCACTCGTATGGAAATATGGAGGCCGTAGACAAAAGAATAAACCAGAACAATCGTATTGTATTCTGTGCTCATGAAAGTTGACAAAATACATTTGCCTACCGCGTCTGTTTGTAATCGTTGCACAGAACATAACGAAGAATCCAACGAACAAAACGAAGAATCCGAAGGCTGGCTTGCTGGAAGCGGCTGGGAAGCAGTTGGATATTGAATAAAGTGCAATCGTATGCTTGTCGTATCTTGAGTCACAAGTTCATATATTTGTGAAAATCGTTTTGGCCCTTAAACTTTCACGCTGAGTTATAATTTCATGTGTGATGTTGTTGGCGTGTCTTCAATAACACATCATTTTACGCGTTCATTCACTGAGGATTTTAGCTCTTGATCCCGATGGAGAATTTCGATACAAACATAGATGATGCAAAACTATAAGTACTAACAAACTTTCAACAGTTTGATTTTAGAAAGAACTCTGCGATTTCCATGTTATATATAATTATATTGCGAGAGTGTAATATGTTTTTGAGGGCGAGGAGACCAAATTTCTGAACTGTGGTTATTTTTTGCGATTTAAGCAGCAAAAATACATAGGGAAGGCCAGGAAATAACCACTTGTTTATTTATTAATTGATGTCGTTTTTCGATTAAAGATGTTAGATGTCCACTAGCACGAGGAAGAAGGAAGTTGAATGAAACTCTGAACGCCAAATAAGATGGTCACGAATATAACACATGCGACCATGATTTATTTCGATTACCCAAAATTAAAATTGGCCGCGTGGGAGAATAAGTCTTGCGCGATAAAAGAACTGACCGAATTTAAGACTCTCGCTTTAGCTCGAGTAAAATGAAATGTGATGAGGTGTTTTAAATCACTTTGTACTTACATTCATTTTATTTGATATTGTGAATATACAATTACTATACATAATTATATTATCATCAAACGATGAAATTAATGTCGTATAACAACTGCCTAAAATATACAAAGCACTTCTTGACGTTTCGACCTGAAGGCCTTCGTCAAGAGAGTTTATGAAAATAAATATGGGAGAACACATGTTTTGTATGGGTGCAAAACAAATGATAAAAATGGGCCAATAGAAAAAAAAAATCAAAACAAATTGAAATGCATTACATTGCCAAAGCGACGCTTGATTGTGGGCTAAGAATAGCCCGCAATGAGGGAAGCCTGATCAGCAACGAAAAGGTATTACAACAAGCTTTGTTTTGTCAATCAATTACAATCAATTTGTTTTCATTTTTTGTTTTCTATTGGCCCATTTTTATCACGTGTTTTGCCCCCATACAAAATATTCTCCCCTATTTATTTTCATACTAACTCTCCTGACGAAAGCCCTCAAGTTGAAAAGTGTTTTACCAATTTTTGGCAGTTATACCACACTTGATGTTAAATTGCTTGAAGACGCTGCCACGCTGCTCCCTGGTTATATTGGAACTTATATTATCATCAGGTAAAAGTATTTTTTATTATATTAAATGAAAAACTGCGTATAACCATATCAGTCACAACAGAAAAGATATCCTCTAAAACCCCAGCTTTTTGTACCTCTTCCCCAGGACGGTTCATAACCAAACTGAGAGTGAAGAATGCATGGTTTGTGCGGCGAGTTACCTAAAAAACAGGAGGAGTCTTATGAATGGAACAAACAGCTCGTGGGAATTGTTCGTTTAACAATGTCGATCTGGGTGACGCATAGGATAGCTATAGCGCTTCATAAGCAATAGCAAAGGATAAGCAGAAAAAAGTCGAGATAAAATAGATAAATATTTGTTACAGAACTTTTTCCACAAAAGAGTATATACCCGCAAATTAGCAAAAGAATACAATTGCAATATTTACCCAGTTGTAACCATTCGTTGTCACTATCTTTGACAGGCACCCAATGATCTCCTTGTATAGTTCCACCAGTGGGAGTTTTACCGTCTTTACATATATCTTTAGAGTTACAGAGTTGATTGCCATAGGACGTGCATATTGAAACTGCTTGTTGATATGAAGTTGTAGGTGGAACATTCTTTATTGAAATCCCGGTATCTAAAATTAAATCATAATTATAGAGAACAATACAATAGAATGATGGAACAATAGAATAAGCCTATGGGCCAATTTGTTTGTTCGGGGTAAACCCTAATTAAGAAAACTTTTTGTTTAATTCTGGCCCTCTTTATATATTTTTTTTGAGAAAAAATATTCAGGATCAAATAGGGAGACATTTAAGTTTGCATCCCTTGCAATTTTAAACAGAATAAATCGTGATTTTTTTGTATAAGACCACCTAAAAAGTGCAAATTTGAATTTTGAAGAAACAAAAGCTTTTAAAGTCGATCAAAAATAAATGGCTGGCTTTGCATGAAAATCATCTGTTTCGGCATGGTTTAATGCATGCCTGATTCATGCATTTCAAGTAATATGTTTGATTATCACAAAACAGTACCTGAATTCCTCTTTGTTTCATCTTCCTTTCTCTTTGTCTATAGCAAATTTATTACAAATTAATGGCTGTAGTAGGAAAAAGGATTTCTCACACTTATTTTTAGCTCCTTTCCCCCTAAATCAATTGCTCCATTATTTTGATAACGAAAAAAACTGTAAACTCGATAAGCCCGTTCTAGCTTATACACAGACCAATGCATGGACGTACGTTGATCACATGAAATAAACACCATGCATCGTTGCCAACTATTTCTGTGGTATGCCTATCATGCTATGACAGCCGCTCCATCATTGATGCATCCGCTATCGAACAACATCGACACTATTGAAACAAGGTTTATACACAAGATTGTCAGGTTTTGGGTAATTCAAAATAACTTTTAATACGGATGCAACACTGTTTAGTAATTAAAATCCAATTGATGAACTTTTAAAAATCTCATTTTTGAAGCACCCTGTAGAAAAAAATTCATAAACAACAAGTATAATCGTGATATCGAGTTGTTTTATGTCAGTGAATGTCCAATTTTTTGCGTCGGAGAATAATCATTAAGGCCGGCGCACGAAAGCTATATGTGCTTAGGAAAATGTCATAGTTCATGGCAAATGTCAAAAAGTCATTGGCGTAAGCTAAAGTTGCTCTCGTGTGCGCGTAACTTTGCGGCGACTTTTAAAGACAAATATCTAGCATGTTTTATATTTTTTCCCACCCGTGGCAAAATGCTTAGTTGATTTTCTCGTGCGCGCGGTCTTAAAGAAACCGCTCTCAGCTTTTTATCACAGCCCATGCTCCTCGTTCTATGAATTTTAATTTTCCAATAACCAAAAGTGCGTTTGATGAGTTTTTTCTAGCATTCCCTCTTTTGTGGCTTCTTTGCTTTCGTGTGTCTGTTGCTTTCAAACATGTAATTTTTTCAGTGTACTTTTTCTCTCTTCTTGGTAAAAGACCGCTTCCATAATAGACCAACTTTTGATTCAGTTGACATTTCCGAAATGAACGTACTAAATTTAATTGTCAAGTTTGGCTTCGAATCGAAGATTATTGTAAAGTACACAAAATATGGGCAAACAAAGTTGGCAAATTTGTATACTTTTGTATGGCATGCATGGTGGAAAGTGCGGAGTGCGGAGTACGGAGTGCGGAGTCGGAGTCTTATTACGGAGTCTTATTACGGAGTCTGCACTGGACTCCGCATTTTCCACCGTGCCCTTTTGCATTATGACTGGAAGGGTAGTTAATTAAAAACAAGACGCTTGTTCTAGCGTTAATTCCGGCGTGCTTTGCACGTGCCAGTCTTCAATATAAAAATTGAAGCTTCTGAACATAAACAATGTTCATACTCATTTAGATGCCTTGCAAACCTAAAATCTAAATGTTGTTCGATCACGACATCTGAAAGCACATCGTACTTTAAAAGTAGAAGTTCAACTGTTCAAAAATGTAAATAAACCGCATGATACGTTCACTTTGTCTTTCACTTTGGTATCCGCGCTTATATTAAATCTTCAATCCTGTGCAAACTGCGACGTGTCAACGCGCCCATTTCGCGCCCATTTCCGTGTCATGCGAGCGAAATCAAATCGCACATCGGAAAATCAGCCAAAGATTTCGAGCTGTGCAACACAACTCTTGGGAGACAAAACTGTGACGTAGATAAATACGGTCAAATACACTTTTCAAATACTAGTATATTTCGCGCCAAAACACACTTGCGACGACGAAAAAAAAGTTTAAAAAAAATAAAAAAACAAAACAAAATGCAGGTGAATTTTCAACTCCACGCTGACGCCGGAATAATTAATTACACATAATAATGTAATTATTCCGCCAGTAAAGCAAAAGTATATATAAAGATTGCCTGTATGGCTATATTTTCCGTACTACTTGACATTTTGCAGCCAAACTTGGCAATTATACTAATTTCAGTATGCTCTATTTTATTTATTTAATTCCTTCTTATAACCTAGATCACAAGTTGGTCTAGTATGCAAGTGGTCCATTTTTAGCTACATCGGTTTTTCGAAGCGTGGGGTAATTATTAGCTACCAAATGAATTTCGTGTATATGAAATAAACAGTTCACAACAATACAGAGCTGATATAAAGCCATTTCTATAATTATTCGCACACGAGGTTTGATATTTTAATGCTTGTTTACACGTGCAATATTAATTTTGGCAATTTGCCACGATTTTCTTTTTTTGATAGGTATGGATGTAAACGAGTGAATTAGTCACGAATGTTCAAATAGGAACTCGTACACATCTGATCATTCGTAACTTTATGCTCGTTTACTTTCAAAGCAGAAAATCGCTCATAAAATTGCGTGCAGCAAATATCGCAAGTGTAAATGGGCCTTTAAAGATTAATACAGTTTGCTTGTATTGTTTGTTCATTAAATTGCGTCGCTATAACAACTGCAGGAACCCGTTTTTACTTTTGAACACAGAATTCCCTTCAGTTTAGAGTTCCAACATCCTAGGAATTTAAGAAAAATTCAGTCTTATAAATTTCATATAACCCACCGCTTCAACGTCATACATCAAAATCCAATCTCCTTTCAATTCGTTACTGATATTGGTTACATTGGTCAGTTGACAATTTTCAACATCTTTTGTTGTTCTGTAATTGAATCCAACACACTGAGCTTCGTCTTTGCAGTAAGTATAACATTCTAACACGACAACCGAAGAGATGATGTTGTGTCTTGATATTATCTCATGTGGGAACAGTGATGGACCACCTATAATTCAAAGTTTTGCAATGAATAAAAATTTTAACAAATTCTCCCTGAATTATGTATGGACAGTCTAATAAAACACTAACCCGATGTAACGATGTAATCTTTCTGTCCACATTGGTTTCCGAAAATGGTTGCAAATTGCAAGCAAAAGTAGAGACACGCGTTAACGATTTTGGGCATGACCGACTTTGTCAAAAGCTATTACGAAACTGCTGGTGGTCAAGCTAGCTTCTGCTAACAAGTCTGTTAAAATCATTTGACACCTGTGTAGCGGGAGTTTGGCACTAGAAGAACAAAAGGAATCAGTGGGATAACGAGGCGGTAGAGCACCTTTTCCACATTATTTCGAGTTCTCCGAGACGCCAAAAAGTCATTTCTAAAACTGGGTAGACACAGCAAAATGTTTTTTCTATTTCTTTTATACTATAACCCATGAAATAAAAGGATTTTAAACAAATTTGGAAATCGATTAACTTAAAAACTCTCATAATATTATAATTTTTACGGGTAGCCGCTGCGCATGCGTGGCTAACCACTATGTAGTTGAAAAGGTGTCTGTGGGTATGTGGGTATGCATGTATACGTACGTCTGTAGTTAATCTTCGGCGATCGTCGGATAAACGAAAGGTGACGAACATACTGTTCGTGTGTTCGTCATTACTTCCGAATATTTCGTCTGTTCTTTTGTAAATATTTAGTCAGAACACAGTGAATAGAATATACATAGTTTGAAAACCACATAAAACTACAATACAACTTACTAACTATGTTGAGGTAGATTCATGCGAAATATTGTTCCTTTCTCATCCCACGTCTATCGTATTTTGCACAGATAAACCAATAGCAATCTTATAATTAACGTATTTTTCAAGTCAAGGTTGAGGAGCTTAGCATAACGAATGCCATTGGTACGTTTGGCTAAAATACAATAGACACGTGACGAGAAAGGAACCATTTTTTGCATAAACCTGGACAATAAAACATAGTTATTAAGTTGTATTGTACTTTTATTTAGTCTCCAAACTATGTATGTTCTATTAACTCTGGTCAGAATTTCATTCGAAGGGCTGTTTTGAGTTTAGTCAAAATTCTATGTAAAAGTCAAGGTAAAGTCAACGTTGCATTATTTGTGTCAATATTGGTCATTTCAATCGCTCATTTGTCCGCTGTGGTCGAGCAATTTTGATGACAATCGGATTATACAAGCGTACAAATCTTTAATACTGCGTGGCTTTTTTGCAACTTTCATTGACAATATCTTATCACTGTGGTAATCAGACCGACAATCAGTTAACATTGAATGCCATCATTCATCATTGATTTTAACATGTATTGCTGCCTTACTTGGAAGGTATGTCCTAGGACCTGGATTTTCCTCTACATCATTTGAAAGTCACATAAACATAAATAATGGCATATAAACATTGTGATAGTATATAATTTGAACAAACCATAAGCACAATTCACTCTTCTTTTGACTCTTAATAAATTGGCTCTTGAGATATGGCAAACAAAAACCTTGCCATTATGCAGGTATTGAAATTAGACCTTGCCATTGTGCAGGTAGTGAAATTAGACCTTGCCATTGTGCAGGTATTGAAATTAGACCTTGCCATTGTGCAGGTATTGAAATTGAAACCAGCCATTGTGCAGGTATTAATAAAACGAGAGCCATTCTGCTGATATATTCAAACAAAAAAATATTAAGTTTAAGGCTACAAATATGGACGTCATTATTGAAGTTCATTGCTCCAGGATTGGTTCACACCACAATTTTCTAAACTGTCGAAACAGTCTCTGCTGTCTGAAAGGCAAGCCTTGGAATCAAATACTGTTAATGTTTTATATTAATTTATTTTGCTTGCCATATCTCAAGAACCAATTGATTAAGAGTCAAAAGAACGGTGAATTGTGCTTATGGTATGTTCAAATAATATACAATCACAATGTTTATGTGCCATTATTGACTGAGACTTTCAAATGATGTGGAGGAAAATCCAGGTCCTAGGATATACCTTCCTGGTAACTACTACTCAGCAATACACGTTTATATCAATGATGAATGATGGCATTCAATGTTGACTGATTGTCAGACTGATTACCACAGTGATAGGATATCAGTGACAGTGAAACTTGCAAACAAGCCTCGCAGTCTTATTGGACCTACGAACTGGTGCTATTATCTCCATGCTGATAAGTTATCTGTACTCAACATTGCAAACCACCTGTGCCTTCCTATTGGATCTATCAAATCACACTATAATCTTTAGTTATAATGGTGATAACGTATTGTCAATAAACTTTGGCAAACAAGCCGTATAATCTTACTGCAACAAGAACCATTCTAACATTTATTAACTATATAACATTCGTCAATCAACAAAATAACCAATGTTGTATGTAACAAAGACATGCTGATAATCATGGGACATCAACACAAAATAATTTGAAAACGTCCGAAATCTTCTTTCTTTCCTTCTAAACTAAGCTTTATGTTATCAGAGGGTGTGTTCCACCATCCTGTAACCTTTCTCTCTTTTTTGTTCTCTTCAACTATTAAGCTTAAAAAAATATGCATTTCCTATCTCTTGTAAATATGCTTGTATATATGTTTTAATTTGTCGTAAAATGTATTTAACACAATAAAATTTTATAATAATTTATGTACCATAGGACTAGGAGATTTTTCGCATCGGATCCCAGTCCCCTATTTTCGAGCTAGGTGTGTGACATTAAATTTATCACACTGTGCTATTAGATTTATCTCACGCGACGTCTCGCGAGGACTACGCGCACCCACTGGAAATAATGGCGAGAATAGTGTTGTTTGAAATCAAGAAATTAACGATTGTGACGAGAAAATTAACCGTAATTCTCAATCACGGAAGACATAGAAAAAACACAAAAAAATTAACTAATGCATGTAAAAAATACGTTATACGGTAATTTTTTACGCCTTCTTCGAGTACTTTTACTGATTTATAGAATTTAGAAATATGAAATTCTCCGACCGAACCTCTGTACTGTATGTTTGCCTCTTCTACAAGCACACATTAGTTTTCGGTACCATATCATTTATAGACCCTCCGCATGAGAGATTGCAGGGCAAAATATTTCCTTTGTTAAATTGTATGTGAAATTAAATTTTTGACGTCAGTTTTTTTAGATTTTCTGAAAATTTGGTCTTTTCTGACAAAAGATACCAATCTCGCGGAGAAAATTCAAACCAAAAGTTTTTCACATAAACATTCCATCGGGCTGCCAGTGATGCATGCAATGAGATACATGCAGCGCAATCTCGCGAACTATGCTCTATAATGAAAACAGTATTAATATTGAATGAATATTATATACTTTAATTTGCCGGGATAGAAGAAGATCCCACGTGATATACATGCGACAATTATAGATTGTATAAATATCCTTTATTAATGACATTATGCTATAACATATATATGATCATTTCAACTATATTTTTAACTCCATGTCTGTATAGCGCGATATACAAATCCAGTCAACAAGATTTGTGCACTTTGCATGATTTAACTTACCAATCAGCGCACATTCGTTTACACTGTCACTCACGGGCACCCAGTGTAGGGAACTCCATTTTTGCATATTGTTTGAGGATTACAAAGCACTTTTCCATCCAATTTACAGTTTAAAATTGCCTGCTGATACGAGAGTGTGTTCGGAACTGTCTTTACTGCAACTGCATATTCAGCATCTGAAATTTGACAATTTAGAAAGGCGACACCGAAACTCTTATTTCATGATTTAAACAGCTTTAAGTTATACCAACCTATCGATAACAAGGCAGTCGAGAGACTCAAGACGCCATACAGGACTATTCCTTGAACTAAGAGATTGCTCATCTTTTTATCAAATTCTCTAAGATAAGGTCATAATATATACAAAAGGATCAATTTTTCTATTTCACTTGTTATAATTTAATGCATTAAAACCAGAAAATCAACTAGGGAAAAATTAACACTCACGAGATTGTTTATCATAAAATTTTCCAAATGAGCTTCTTCACTAGACACGGTTCGATCTTTACATACCTAACGTGTCTTCTCCAAGCGTTAAAGTATGGTTACTGGGATATTTGTAAGATTAGAGGGAATATATATAGACGTGGTAGCCGTTCTATTAAGATTGCGTTGACAGACGTGTGTTCAGTGCGTTCAATCTGTGGTGAGTGAAGCACGCGCATTTCTGCGATAAAATTACGTATAGCAACGTCACGGGATGTTTGTTGATCTTTGCTCTTGAGGATATCAAACTGAAAACAACAAGGAATTTTTATCTGAAAATACTCACTATAGTGTGTGCTCGAATTCAAATTTAAAAAATTATACCTTCAGGTTATGTCAACACGGGGCGAACCAATGTAGTTACTTCCCATTTCTGTGCAGTGCGTGTCATCACCTAACGACACGCACTGCACAAAAATGGGACACGCAAATGACTGCACAAAAATGAGAAGAAATTTTTGGCTATCTTAGCGGTTTTGCCCGAAACTAGTTAGCGCTTTACCGCCTGTTGTAGGTGACACGAACAATGAAATCTAGATAGGAAATTTAAATCATTATCGTTTATAGTGACATTATATCAAGGTTTTAGTCAAACTATTATTACTTTCTATTTTGTTAGTTGATGTACGTAATATGTATTGCATAAAAAACTGAACTGAATTTGCGTCAGCTTTGAGACTTGTCGAGGACTACACGGTATTTACGGAGGCTAATTCTCGACATACTTTCCTTTGACGTTTTGATTACGGAAGTAAATTATTTGACCCTTTGACACGCTGTTTACGAGCAGTTTCATTTTTTAAAAGAAGCAAAACAACTGATCGGTTAGGTTTGGCTGTGCCAATTTAGTAGCTATTATTACTTCACTAACAATAAGATACTCCGGGGCTTTCCCGGTTAAAGCTTTAAACTGTCATAACTGCTTTCCGCTTTTCTAAGTCAGTCTCAATTGGTACCCAATTAAGTTACGTTCCATAATTTGGGTGGAACGGATATCATATGTACTTGAAGTTATCACACGTGGAGCTCTTCTTTGTAATTTTGAAAGTTTCTTAGTTATGGTACAAGATCCATCATTTCATATTGTTGAACGATAATTAAATTGAGGCCAAATAAACGCATTGTTATACATGTTTATAGTAATGTATGCCTATA